AAAAAAGCATCTGGGAATATTTTGTAGCAGTAAATGAGGACATTGTGCACGGAGGGGAGGGGCAGGGAGCCTGCCCAGCCTGCACCCTCTCACAATCCAGGACCGCTGGCTCCTAACCGCTCGCCTGCCTGCCTGATGCCCCTAACCACTTTGCCTACCTGCCTGATCGCCCCTAACCACTCACCTGCCTGCCTGATCGCCCCTAACCACCTCTACCTCGGCCCTCGCCACCACAGCTTCATCGGGAAGGACGTCCGGAATGATGTCCAGAAGGTTGTTCGGCTGTCTGGTCTAATTAGCATATTATGCTTTCATTATTATAGATAGCTTGGGCCATAAAGCTTATGCTTAAACTTAATGAAAACCTTCATTTTAAAAAAAGAAGACAAAGACCAAAAACTTCTGATGAATGATAGTAATGTAAGGCAACAGCCTTCACCGAAGTCTATAGTTTCAGGACTCTTGACCCAACGATCTGATGCAAATTGTGACAAAGCTGCACTGTCTCCCACCAGCGAGCTAGAGCACCTTCTGATGCCGGGGGGCCACACACACAAGGCCACGTGGGGGTGTCAGGAGGACCACCGCTCACCGCTGTCCATAAGTCTAACTGCGGTGAGGCGCTGTGTGAGTGCGGGGTGTGTGGGCCTGTCTCCAGGGTTCAGAAGGAACCAACAAGGCTGGAACAGAAGTCAGGGTGGGCATGTGTGCCTGCAACGCACTGAGTCTCCCTACAGGCAAACCAACGGGGTGCAGAAAAGTGAGACGAAATAGACTCTAGCCAGCTGCTCGCTGTCTTTTCCTGTTTTCATACACGACCTGATTTCCAAACAAAGCACTGGCCCGGAGCTTTAATTCCACAAAGCACGTGCACACCCCCATTTGCTATTCGCACAAAAGCGCTGTGAGATAGTCCAGCCACGTATTGATATGTTGGCTACACATCAAATTCAGGTTTTAAAAACAGGAGAAAATGTATCCATGAACGCATGCATGCGGGGGTCCTTTGGTTCCTGAGACGGCAGATCATGTGTAACACTATGTACGAAGTTTGTCTTTCCCTTTTCCCGAGAATTCGCACTATGTGACCATGTTGACTGGAGACAGCTGCCTGCCGCCCTTGGACCCTGCGCATACGCTTGTGAAATTCAAGCTTGCTAAATAATTAAGCCCCAAAGGCCATGACTCCCAGTAATTCTCCTGCCAACACGAACATTGAGGTTTTGGGTAGTCGATTTTTTTCAGAAATAAAAAAGCATCTGGGAATATTTTGTAGCAGAAAATGAGGACATTGTGCACGGAGGGGAGGGGCAGGGAGCCTGCCCAGCCTGCACCCTCTCACAATCCAGGACCGCTGGCTCCTAACCGCTCGCCTGCCTGCCTGATGCCCCTAACCACTTTGCCTACCTGCCTGATCGCCCCTAACCACTCACCTGCCTGCCTGATCGCCCCTAACCACCTCTACCTCGGCCCTCGCCACCACAGCTTCATCGGGAAGGACGTCCGGAATGATGTCCAGAAGGTTGTTCGGCTGTCTGGTCTAATTAGCATATTATGCTTTCATTATTATAGATAGCTTGGGCCATAAAGCTTATGCTTAAACTTAATGAAAACCTTCATTTTAAAAAAAGAAGACAAAGACCAAAAACTTCTGATGAATGATAGTAATGTAAGGCAACAGCCTTCACCGAAGTCTATAGTTTCAGGACTCTTGACCCAACGATCTGATGCAAATTGTGACAAAGCTGCACTGTCTCCCACCAGCGAGCTAGAGCACCTTCTGATGCCGGGGGGCCACACACACAAGGCCACGTGGGGGTGTCAGGAGGACCACCGCTCACCGCTGTCCATAAGTCTAACTGCGGTGAGGCGCTGTGTGAGTGCGGGGTGTGTGGGCCTGTCTCCAGGGTTCAGAAGGAACCAAAAGGCTGGAACAGGAGTCAGGGTGGGCATGTGTGTCTGCAACGCACTGAGTCTCCCTACAGGCAAACGAACGGGGCGCAGAAAAGCGAGACGAAATAGACTCTAGCCAGCTGCTCGCTGTCTTTTCCCATTTTCATACACGACCTGATTTCCAACCAAACAGCACCGGCCCGGAGCTTTAATTCCACAAAGCACGTGCACACCCCCATTTGCTATTCGCACAAAAGCGCTGTGAGATAGTCCAGCCACGTATTGATATGTTGGCTACACATCAAATTCAGGTTTTAAAAACAGGAGAAAATGTATCCATGAACGCATGCATGCGGGGGTCCTTTGGTTCCTGAGACGGCAGATCATGTGTAACACTATGTACGAAGTTTGTCTTTCCCTTTTCCCGAGAATTCGCACTATGTGACCATGTTGACTGGAGACAGCTGCCTGCCGCCCTTGGACCCTGCGCATACGCTTGTGAAATTCAAGCACAGGATCGGCCCCTGAGAGGGAGTAATGACTGTGCTAAACCGAAGACACCGTTTAAGCAAACATCTTTCGGGCTGACAAAAGGCGTGCAAACGTGACCGCAATGAATGCATTCCCTAATCGTTTTGGTTTTTTTCTCCCACCAACGCCCCTCACCAGTGTTTTGCTGTAGGATGTCTCTCGCATAACCGTGTGTATCCTGTACCTAGAAATAGTTCCCTGCCAAATGTTTGGCCGCTTTGAGAATCTGTTTTGGATCAGAAAAACCGGAGTACATTAGTAGTAGGCTGATGCCCAGGGATGTGCCAGGGACTTAAAACAACTCAGAAACATATAAAAAAGTCTCCCCTCACAGCTTTCAACCCCAAATTGTAGAGCTCTCATCATTGATGTTTCTCTCTATCTCTTCCTCTCTGAAATCAATTAAAAATATATGTATTTAAAAACAGAAAGCAGACCTACCTCTGAACTATGCATGTGTATCTTCTTACCTGCTGTGCATTCATGTGCCAAGCAAGACCCAGAAACACCAGAATCTGCCAGTTTTTCTTTGCCAAAGAGAGGACTTCAAATGCCCTTACAGCGATGTCCTGAGACTGACAGTGACAGGAGAGCCAAGGGGAATCAGCAGGAGGGCCAACCTGGCCAGAGGTCCCCCTAGAACAGCGGTTCTCAACCTGTGGGTCGCGACCCCTTTGGCGGTCGAACGACCCTTTCACAGGGGTCGCCTAAGACCATCCTGCATATCAGATGTTTACATGACGATTCATAACAGTAGCAACATTACAGTGATGAAGTAGCAACGAAAATAATTTTATGGTTGGGTCACAACATGCGGAACTATATTTAAAGGGCCAGAAGGTTGAGAACCACTGCCCAAAACTATCAGGGCTCCAGTAAGAACTGCTCTGGTTTTGCAGCCCGGTCTCAAAAATTCACAGAGCAGCTGACAAGTCCTGAAACAGAGCCCTTCCCCACGTTAGGCATCGGCAAAAAAGGATGAAGTCAGTGGGGCACAAGACGGACCCAAGTCAA